ATAGCCGGTCAAATGGTTATGGTGAACACAAACAACAAGTTCGATGATATATTGAGTACAAAAAAAGGAAAGAGACCAAATAAGAACAAACTCAATAGTTGATTACCCTCCTGAGTCACACGTCATCTCCTACTGATATTAATGACTTTATGAGATTCATTCTTGCTTCTATATCTTTAAAACATAACCCACGAAAGAACACTATTCATACATGTACAACTTTGTAATGCACTTGAATATTTATTAGGGGAATCTTGATTAAGCAGGCGCATTTCATGACTGTATTTACATTTCCAATCGAATGATTTATCATATCATGGATTCTAGACAAGTCTACAAACGAGTGAAATCACAAGTGCTTTGATTTTTGAGTTTACTTAGCTTTGAGATCGAATTCATGGAATGAGATACAACATCAATATGTACAATATCATGCTGCTTTTGCAGACACATCACCATAATATACCTTGAGGTAAACGTTTATGCTGATAAATATACCTCTCATACACAATCATATCCTTTTGAAGAGAGGTGTTGACAGCTAATGATATGGGCATATTTAGTTATAAAATTCATGCATTATCTTAATACTTTATGTTGTTTTTGTCTCATTTAATGAACAAAAGGTGCTTAATTAGCTTAAATATTTCATTTTCAGCAACAAAGACATGCTCGAAAGGAAAATGAAGCGGAATTGGCGATTGGACGCTTGGATCTTGGATTTTGAAGAAAGAAGGACGTTGCTGGACAGTTTGACCCCTCGTCAGTGTTTTGGCCATATCTCATAAACCATAACTCCGATTGACGAGATTCAAAATGTTCTGAAAACTAGACACAATTTCAGACGACTTTCGTGTTTTGAGAAAATGCTGATTCCAAACGTACTCGGCGAGTAGGGTCGATTACTCGGTGAGTTGTATCGAACTTTCGCGATTCTAGACGCGCTGACTTGCCGTACACGGGTTTTAAGTGACGGACTCGCCGAGTAGGTCACTGGACTCGCCGAGTAGCCTCTGTTTTGTGAAAATCTATATAAAGGGACTTTCAGATCAATACCCTAGCATGGAGAGAAACCCTAGGAGGCTGAGAAACGATTGGAAGTGCTGCTAGGTCGTGAGGAACTGAAGAATCAACCCTACATTCAATTGGGAAGAGAATCAAGACAATTTTGGTTTATTCTTAGTAACTTTTTGATTTGAATCATGTTTACATACTTTGATTTCGTTTTTGATTTTATGTTTACTGCAATCATGAGCTAAAAACTTATTCTTCTGTTAGGGTAGACAATTTTGTGAACATGGATTGATTATTTGAGTAGGATTAATTTTAATTGCTAATTATGTTTAGTTAAGCTTGTTAAAGAACCTTATGTGTTGACAATAACTATTCTTCTGTTAATAAATTAGTAATTAAGTTGTATGAACATCTCTTAGTTATTAATTTCATATGATTTATTGTGAACACATAGTTGTATGTCTAGGAATAACGAATGTGAAACTAGAATTAACTAGAAGATAGGTAAGTTAATGTGTGAGATTGTTTGATGAACATCAGCAATAGGTTAATTGAAGGGTCAATTTAATTAACCATTACAAGTCTTACTTAACCCGAATCAATAATCTAGGAAACCCGTTAATTTAGACAACTGGCCATTGCTTGAGTTAATTTGTTTTCTAAGAATTAGGAATAGCAAACATGAACCTAATTATCTTAATCGGTAGCCAATGAAGAATTAATCCGATACATTAAAATCATCCATGGGAACAAATGAGTCGTACCTAAACAGAAGTCCTCTTTACTATTGAATTTAGTTGGTAATTAATTGTTTTAGTTGCTAGTTAGTTAATTTGTGTGTTGGTTATTCTAATTAAGTTTCTAGTCTTGTAAAACTAGAGAAAACCCCCTTTTTGTTATTTGTTTTATTTAGATAATATTAGCATTTATTTTAATTGTTTACCGTTCCCTGTGTTCGATACCCTACTTGCTTGAACTATATTACTAATCGATAGGTACATTGCCTTTCGTGTGTTTATTTTGTGTCTAAGTTAGTAGGATTAAAACTAGTTGGTTTTACACACATCAGCTAACCACAATAAGCATAGCATAGACCATGTTTTAACGAAGTTACCCCTCTGAAACGCTCTTCATATAAGTTATAGCCAATAAAGGTTGCAGTCTTTGATAATTTTGCAACTTTAATTTCATTTAACTTTTCGGGGAAAATGACTCAGGAGGGTAACCAACTGTTGAGTTGTTCTCATTTGGTCACTTTCCTTTTTTTGTACTCAATATACCATCGAACTTGTTGTTTATGTTCACCATAACCCTTTGATCGGCTATCACAGGTCAAAAAAGCCGGTCAAAAGGGTTATGGTAAACACAAATAATAAGTTTAATGGTATATTGAATACAAAAAAAGGAAGGAGACTAAATGAGTACAAATGCAAAAGTTAATTACCCTCAAGAGTCATTTTCCCTTTTTTTTAACTTATTTTGAAACTCATATATTACATTGGTTTATTTAAAAAAAAAAAATATGAATGACTATATATTTGAGAAAATTTTAAATTTATAAGAAAAATGAGAAAAATATTGAGTTATTAAAATTCAAGTGTTTTTTTTCTCTTTTAGATTTCAACATATAATTTAAATAAATAAACAAAGAAAAGTAATGAGACTTTAATTTAAAATTTTAGAAATTAAAAGGTAAATCTGTTAATGAAATTGATATATATTTATTATTATATTTATTGTAGTTATTATATATAAATGTTATATAGAATTTAATAAGATAGAAAATTTATAAAATGTAATTTAAAATAACTATAAAATGACATGTGACAAAATAAATGAAAGTGTGAAATGTGGCAAAAGATCTATTTATTAGAGTAGATATAGGTAGATTGTCAAAAGAGTAACCTCTCAATTTTTTAGCTTTTTACAAATTTGTATTACATGTTTTTCGTTATAAAAGATTTATAAGATATATTATCATAAAGTATTTAAATTGTTAAATAAATTCAAAACATAATGATTATCACAAATTTATTATCTCAAAATATTTAATTTTATAAAAAGTAACAAATTTGAAGCAACTTTTGAACATAAAGATTAAATTTTATATTTATGATCAACTAATACAAATGTAACTAATAATTATTACATCTAAAATATAACAAGTCAGTTAAGAGGGTGTTTGAGATTTCATCTAAAAACTATTTTTTAACTTATTGACTTTTTGAAAAGTCAGTAAGTTAAAAAAAATGTTTGGATATTTAATAAAGACTTTTAAAACAACTTTTGGTTTAATATTTGAAAAAGGTTTTGAAGAAGATACAATTTGTGATGTTTTAGAATGACTTATGACTTATTAAAATAAAAAACAAGCAAAAGTCAATAAGTTAACCAAACACTTTTTAACTTATTTACTTTTGTCACTAAAAATCTAATCAAAACACTTTTTTAAAATCTCATTTTCCCAAATTAATAAGTCAATAAGTCCTTTTAGAAAAAAGTCATTTTTAACTTCAAAATGAAATCCCAAACACCCTCTAAAAAACCATAAATATATAAACCAAAAATATGAGGGCCCAAAATTGTCACATGAAAGTTTGATACCACTCTGATGTAAAGGAATAATATAGCTCCAAATTTGATGTTATAGTATTGGTTTACAACAAAATGATGTTGCGTTGGAGAGAAGTGGTGCAGAATATTGGATTTTTTGTTGGGTTGGAGATGCCCTATGTATACCCAAAAGCAAGTCTTTTTTGTATGTTTGTGAAACGTCAATAACTGAAACTCACAATACCTGTATGCGGAAAAAAATTCTAAAAAAGAAAGCATTGATGAACTAAAAAATTTCATTTACAATATGAAGCATTTTTTGTGGAAATTTTGGGCATAATTCGATAGAAAGGAGGCACATAATACAATTGAAACAGAGCAGTAACTTTCTATTGTACTATCCTCATAATCCTATATTTGAGGACTGCGGAGAGACAAATGGGACTCTGCACCAGTTTAGTATCCCTTACTAAATATCTTCTATTAGAATATTATACCTAGATAATTCACTTCCATTTTAATGATAATCTTGCAACCCTTTTCCTGTAAGCTCCAAGACTCCCGAATCCAAACTTCAGTTCACTAAAATGCATAAATGATGTCAGCATTCTCTTTCAATAAAAAAAATGATGTCAGCATTAGCCTCAGGGAATAAAATTTTGAAATCCAGAAGAACTTCTAACCATATTGAGCTTCACTTTAAAAAGCGGATCTCCTCAGCTTGTATAGATCTTCGTTTGGTACCAACTATACCAAACAGTAGCTCAGAATAGCAATGTTTTATGTATGTGTAGTAGAGTGCAAGCCAAAGACACTGCAGATGCAGAACACCCCACTTCTTTGTATGACTTCCAAGTCTTTCATTTTGATCTATAGGGTCACCAAAATCTGCTAAGCATTGTCAACCATATATAATTTTACATAGAAGGAAATTACACACACCACGAAGACAAACACCTCGAAAAAGAATGCCCCTGATTTAAATACACAAAACAAAAACATAACCGCAAAAATGTCCTCAGCAGCCTCAGGGAATAAGTCAACCATTCTATTGTAATTCATACTAACTGTAAATCATACCATTGATCATAGTATAACCTGGCATGGTGTTTGGATTCATGCAAAACCACATCAAGATTTTAGTTTAATGGAACTCTAGAAACATAATGAAATTTGCTGGCCCACTAGAGATATCATGTATTAAATTTATGGATCTGGTCTTATTTTACACTAAAATTATGACCTTATATATTAGATGCATATATGGTTAGAAGTGCAGATATGTCATAACTATGATGTGAAAAACATAACCAAACAGATTAGCTTAATATGATATAAATTTGCTTTAGATCTTTCGATAGAGTAAATCTCCAAATATGGTATTTTAGTTTTATTGTTTGTGGTTCTTATTAAACTCAAATTTCAGGCCAGAGATGGAGTTTATTGAAAAAATTGTCAAGGATGTCTACCGTAGATTACGTATATACTCAAGGATTCCTCTGCCACAACTTTTTGGGAGGGACGATTCCATTAATTCTGTCACCTCATGGTTGAAAGATGAATCCTCACACACAGCAGACGTTCTTACTATTTTGGGTATGGGTGGGATCGGGAAGACGTCTTTAGCCAAATTTGTCTATGTCTTACATTCCCATGAATTCGACAGAAGCAGCTTCATTGGAGATATCAGTAGGAGTTGTGAAAAATTCGACGGGTTGCTTGATTTACAAAAGAAACTATGTGATGACATTATAAAACCAAGTTCTTTTCAAGTTCGTGATGTTTCTCTATACACCTCAATGATAGAGAATGCATTGGCTAGTAAAAAGGTGTTTCTCGTTCTTGATGATATTGATAGCCTCGACCAGTTGAATGCATTAATTGGAAGTAAAGGTTTTCATGCAGGGAGCAAAATTCTCATAACAACAAAGAACGAATGGTTGATAAAGAGTTGCGCACTTTTCAAAACAGATGTTAAACCCAAGCATGCAAACCATTTGCTTAAAGGCTTGTATGAGACTGAATCACGACAACTCTTGTGCTTTCACGCATTCATGTCTAATGATCCCAAGGCTGGCTATGAAGAGGTGTTAGAGAAGCTTGTGAATTATTGTGAAGGGCATCCATTGGCTCTTAAACTTTTGGGCGAGTCTCTGCATAACCGTGACGTAGCTTATTGGGAGGGGCTCATAGAAACGCTAGAGAAAGAAAACGGTTCCCTATAAATAATGACTTAAGAATAAGCTTCGACTCTTTGCCATCCGAAAATGATAAGGACTTGTTTAAGCATATTGCTTGTTTTTTTGTTGGAACAGATAGAGATGTTACTGAAGCAATATTAAAGGCATGTAATATAAACACAAGTGTTGCATTCACGAATCTCATTGACAGATGTCTTCTTAGTATTGGAGGGAATAACGACTTAATGATGCATCAGTTGCTCCAAGAGATGGGAAAAACCATAGTACGTGAAGAATCACCAAACAAGCCATGGAAGCGAAGTCAATTATGGTGTCATGAAGAGTCATTCGAAGTGTTGAAACGAAAAAAAGTAAGAGGCCATGTATACTTGTTCAAAGGTTTTTTTTATATGTATAAATGGTGATGACATTTTTTAATTCATTTGCATTACCTTTCTTCTTAGGGTACAGAAAATGTTCTAGGCTTCACCCTTGACATGAGAATGCTTGAGAAAGATAAGTTATGTGGATCAATTGAATTCAAAACAGATGCACTGAGTAACATGGATAATATGATGCTACTACAACTCAATTATGTGAAAATAAAAGGGACTTATAAGAAGTTTCCAGAAAAACTTAGATGGTTGTGTATGCATGGGTTTCTTTTGGAATCTATACCTTCAAACTTACTGATGGATAATCTTGTTTCGCTGGACATGTCATATAGCAAGATTAAATCATTTGATGTTTGTTATCGGTTTTCACAACGACCTCATAATAGGCTCAAGGTAACTTATCTCCCTTTATTATTATTCCATGTTGAGTTGATGAATTTCATTATTGTTCTAACGTTTCTTTGTTTCAGAAGTTGTTTGGATCGTTGTCAAAAGACAAAAGCTTGCTTGAATCACTGAAGTTTCTTAATCTAAGTTTCTGTGATCGGCTCACGAAGCTGGGTGGCTTGGCTTTGACAGACTTCCTGCACTTGAGAGTTTAATAGTTCAAAGTTGCAGTGGTTTGCTTGAGGTTTCCGAATCAATTGGGCAATGTGTTGAACTTGTCCTTGTTGATCTGAGCTACTGCAACAAGCTTAAAAAACTTCCAAGAATCATAGGCATGTTAAAGAAGACTAAAACACTATTGCTAGATGGTTGTGATCTCGGTGAATCTCGAATGCTCAAAGCTAATAAAAAAGCCTCTTCTTCTACTGCTCTGGAAGCTATACCAAATGATTTAAAGTTCTTTAATATTTCTTTACCAAGCTCTTTAGTAAGTGTGTCACTTGCAAATAATAATTTGTCCACCAAATCCTTTCCCATGGACTTCAGTGAGCTATCAATGTTAAAGGAATATAATTATGTTTAGATGACAATCCTATAAAATCTCTACCCAACTGTGTGAGAAGTCTTCCTAGGCTTGAGATACTTACTATGAGAAACTGTAAAATGTTGACGTCAGTCGAGCATCCTCCACATACGCTAACGCAATTACTCCTCTCTGATGGCTCTTCACTACAAAAAGTTTTATTTGATCCAGGAATGGGCCCACTCAGATAACTCGTAGTACCATGGGAACCGGTAGTTTTAGGGGTGAGCATTTGGACCGGTGGACCGGACCGGCCCGGTGAACCGGACCGGACCGGACCGTTTTTTTGGACCCCCGGGCCGGTTCTCGGTTCTAGGAATCCATCCCGGTCCGGTCCGGTTTTTTTCCCGGTCCGGTCCGGTTTTTACCGGGTTTAGAACCGGTTGGACCCGGTTTAAAAAAATTTGTAATTTGTGAATTTTTTTAAACAACCATAACACATTCGTTTTAAGTTGGATTGACACGCGGTTTTTTCCAATGTTTAATTTACAATTTGTAGATGAATTTAGACTATAATTTTGTTGATTTTGGTATTATATTCAATGAGTTACAGTCTTTCAAAGTTGAGCTATCAAAGCTGAAAAATTTCAGCTTTTCAGCAACATTTTTAAAACTTTGTAATCTATGAAACTTTTTAAACAATCATAACTCATTCGTTTTAAGTCGGATTGACCTGCGCTTTTTTCCAACATTTAGTTTACAATTTGTAGATGAATTTAGACTATAATTTTGTTGATTTTGGTATTATATTCAGCGAGTTACAATCCTTCAAAGTTAAGTTATCAAGATTGAAATATTTCAACTTTTTAACTATTATTTTAGACTATAATTATGAATTTTATGTATCTTTGAAAGATAAATCATATGAAAGGGATCATGGTGAACTTGATTTATATGTTAGTTGTTTTTATTTGGAAAATTAATTTTGCAAGTTATAATATTCTAACATTAAGGTAGATTAGTTATGCATGAAACGGAAACGTAATCATTTTTACAAGTTATATCGTATCAAACCCAATAACATATTCATTTTAACGAGTTCTATCAAACCCAAAAACATATTCTAACCAGTTGTACTCTATGCATGAAACGGAAACGTAATCATTTTTACAAGTTATATCGTATCAAACCTAATAACATATTCGTTTTAATGAGTTCTATCAAACCCAAAAACATATTTTAACGACTTGTACTCTATGCAATTAAAGTTGTACCAGTCCAAACGGGTCCAAGAACCGGAAAACCCGGACCTGGACCCAGACCCGGACACGGACACGGACACGACTCATCCGGTCCGGTCCACGGTCCACAATATTATCCATAACCGGTCCGGTCCAAGAGCCAGTCCGGTCCGGTCCAGTTCGGTCCAAATGCTCACCCCTAGGTAGTTTCATCATTTGAAATTCAAGGCATGATCAAAATCCAACCAATGGAAGATGTAGAGGAGAATGTATTACACAGATTGGGCTGGAATAAGATGTTCATCCTAAAGAAAAAGGGCATGGGAATAGAGGAATTTCAGATTCAGGTTTTCTCTAGCTAACTATATATATTTGTGTGAATATAATTTATGCTCATGAATTAAGCTTTTGTTTTGTAGATGTATTATGAATTTGGAATATTCAGCACAATTTATTTGGGAAAAAAATGCCACATAGGATTATGCGTAGAAGCAAGGGGCCATCCATATCATTTACCATCCCCTCATCTCTTAACCACCTCAGAGGATTGAATGTCTGTTGTGTGTGGATGTGTGAACTTCTGAATTCTCGATCCCACTCTATTCATATTCCGGAGACTGTCATTATTAATATAACGAAGAATCATACCTAGATGTACCGTCATTGGGATAATAAAGTCATTGTACGTGAAGAGTGTGTAATATTTTTAAGCCATTGGATGTTTGGGATGAATAAGATGGAAGCTGGTGACCAGGTTACTATTACTATTCTAGATTGGCCAAATCATGTTACAAAGGAGTGTGGGGTGAGTTTTGTGTATGATGATGGAGATGAAGAAGATGTGTTGGGCTATTACAAGTCATGGAATCACATCATTGGTGGAGATCTCACAGGATTTCAAACAACAACAGGAGAATACACCCTAGAGAAATGGCGTATTTTGTTGCCTTTCCATGCATCTTTTACTAGACAATTTGGATCCCACATCTGCTATACAATACAGGTACATATCATTCAAACAATGATGTTTGTGGTGGATTTATAGATTTTATTGACCTCTATATCAAGAGTTTCTTTTATAAATTAAAAAATTATTTTGAAAATGTATCCAACCAGATGGACAATGGATTGACCCAAGTATTAATACGTCTAAATCGGTCGATTAATTTGTTGGGTCAATCGATCAAGTTTTCACACACACACACACACACACACACACACACACACACATATATATATATATATAGAGAGAGAGAGAGAGAGATTCATTTGAGACCATGTTAATTTTGTGAGACAGGTGGACGCGATCTTAGACACTCATCTTGAAGATAAAAAAAAATATAAAAAAATTTAAAAATGCAAAATAAAAGTAAAAAAATCTGAAAATTCTTTTTTTAAATATTATTTTTGTTATTTAATATATCCAAAATAATATATATATATATATATATATATATATATATATATATATATATATATATATATATATATATATATATATATATTAGATCGAATCTAGATGAAGACACAACTCGTTGAGAGATGTAGCTACAACTACTTTATCGAAGAGCAAGTATGTGAATGATAATTAACCAAGTACTTTTTTTCATAATGAAGATCTAGTACCCTTTAGAGCTTTATCAAAAAGGAATTCAGACATGCTTGGTCACACCTGAGGTATCCTCTTTGACACCCAAACCTTTCTTTTTGTCACATGAATAAAAGGCACACACAACCAAATATGCTATCATTGAAATTTTTAATTGGTCTAGGATGTAAGAAAGCAAGAGTTATAATCTTGCAATGGATTCTTGGAGATCGCATCATTAAAACGTACGGGTATGCTCCACGGATATGTTAGAAGGATCATGGAAAATATGGAAGGAATTGTACCGAAAAGATTCAAAGGGAGGCTGGAACACAACACTAAAACCACACAGAGCCTCTGTTTGTGGTGTCTCAACACCCATTTATACTCTTTATGCTCATAGCTTGGAAGTCTTATCAATACCTTGTGTCTTTCTTGCCTGAATTACGTTTGTACATACTTAATATATCCATACTTTGAGGGGCTCACATTCATTGCATCCAAACGTTTGATTAATATTTCTGGAGCAGAAATTTATAAATATATACCTTCAAAGAATTCAAATTTATAAATGGTTGCATCACAATCAAATTTATGTCTGTAGCGGCCCCAAATGATGATGTACCTTGTTATTTTTGTTTTGAAGAATAGTTAATGATTAAAAAATTGTTACATTAATTCTTCTGTATTCAAATTACAACATCCATCTGCCCTCCTGGATCAGTGAGAACACTCTTAGAAGTGAACTTTTTTGTGAAAAGAGATCTCACAAAGTTCCTATGGTTTTCCCATGTTGACTAATATATAACGATGATGGTTGGTCTCCTTAGAGAATCACAACCATACCTAACTAGAGTAGACAATTAAACTGTTTTGATGGAAGAAAATTTTTGTTAGCGTGCCATTTATACAAACAGATTGTGCACATATTAATTTGTTTGTATATCAAACATTTCAATAGCCACTTGTGCAATTACACAAACAGATTGAGTATATATAAATATTCTACAGGACCCTTTGTATTGTGAGAGAAAAGAGAAACTGAGCACCATATGGTTTAACAAACAAATTTGCCATATAAGGTTATTAAGTTTACACTTAATTCAGAATGGAAGGAAAAAAGAAACAGAGCACCATATGGTTTAACAATGGCACTCAAGCAACTACTATGTATTTGTAATAAAAGACAGAGATTGAATTTGGAACCTCAAAAGAATTATTAAAAGGTACGTAAAATATGTACCTTATGCCAATATGTCCGAGTCAGGTTCTTGAAGTTGGGAAGTTAGAACCTTAAGAAGAAGGAATTACAAAGTATTAACAGACAGATGGCTCCTCTTCCTTATTACATTAATCACTTTGCAAATGAGGCCTCTTAATTTTTAAATGCATAAATTATCCTAAACCCTAAATGATGGATATTTTATCAATAGCTCCAATCAAATCCTACACCTGCAGCAACAATAATGCATCAAATCTATGACTACTAAGAACAGAGCTCAATTAAACAAACATATATACAAACCAGAATCATATGATAGTAGATGGCAATTGTCTTAACATTCTCTATTTCTTGTTATGGAACCAATTCAAGCCCATTCTTGTTATATAAAAAGAAATTTATAAGAATTTCATAGCATATTGGTTATTATGAAAAAGTTAAGGACATAAATCACAAATAACTCGGCCAGAAATTGGAGCAATCAAACACATGAATCGCAAATAATGGAACGTAGGAACTGAGACCGTTAAGGGAAGTAATATAAAAAAGGTTGTAATATTGCTAAGAACAGAAAGTGTATGTCGATTAATTTAATAATTTTTCTTTGATATATATATAAATGCCATATATAATATAAAGTGTATGTCGATTAGCCCCTTTAATTCTTTTATATTTGCGAGTCTGTTAAACTAAAACCACCTAGGTTAAAAGCCCAAGTAACATTGCACTTTAATTTAATTGTCATAATCGAATACACAGTGTTTGGAATTCAAGATTAATTATTAAACCTACCCACAAAGACACATATGGCATTACCCTTTTTCAATTAAATGATGAGTTCGACTTTTAAGAACAATTTCTTGCTTTTTGCTACTCGCTTTGAAGATCAATTTCTTGCTTTCACTACGACTATGCTAATTCATAAGGTAACTTTTCATTTTTATTACATTTAATTTTTCAAGTAATTTGTAATTGACAATATAATCAATTTGTAAGTAGCTACACTATATCTAAGTTCTAACTAATTATTTTAGTAAATGAGTGAATTAACTGATAACATTGGTGAAGTTTGTACTTGTACACAACACATTAGGTAACTCAGGTAACTCACAAAGGATGAAAGAGATTTTCTGCACTTATACAAAGTGCAATTTTCTAATATATGAAACTGCCATATATGGCTTACAAGAAGAAAGCAAAACAAATACTTGAAGAAACTAAAGCACTACCACATACATGACTTCTAAAAGTAAGGAACCATCCACTACCCAAAAAAACAAAGCCAAAGAACATAAAATAAAATAAAGTAAAGGAACACATGTGCATAGCATGTGACTTGAGATAGATAAGGTGTTGTACCTGAACACTCCCTCTCAAGACCTATCTCGATCATTCTCATTTGCTCACAGAATTGAGCCATCTTCATTCTTGATAAGCCTTTAGTACGTGAATGAATCTACACACGTCTTCACATATGGGAAATCAATTTCTCCTTTCAGCACCTTTTCGCGAATAAAATGATAATGAACCTCCACATGTTTTGTTCAAGCATGAAACGTTGGGTTCTTTGCAAGTTGAATTGATGATAGGTTGTTACAGAAGATTGGAATTTTGTAGTCTACCTTAATGGTTGAAATTCTTTAAGAGTTGGATCAACCACACGCTTTCTTCAGTTGCCATGGCTGCTGCTTGATACTCAGCCTCAGTTGTGGAAAGGGACACAGTCAGGTTGTCTTTTACTACTCTATGATAAAACACTAGATCTGTCACAACTAGCATTTTTGCTAGGAAATTCTACTCTCATGTAATCATTTGACTATTGTAAAACATATACCCTAAGTGAATATTATCCGGTGCTCATTTAAATGCACCTCTCATGTTCATCAAAGAGTCTGAAACCCTAAGAACCTTGGTTTAAGTCCATATTGGACTAGGACTTCCTTATTGGGTCTAATGGACCAATAAGCATTCAATTCAACTATTTTGGGCTTGGAAACCCTATTTGGATTCTAAATGGACCCAATTCACAAATCTATAACATTTTGGACCAATTGGGCCTATAATGATTCATTCTAACCCTAATGGGCCTTATTGGGCCATAACTAATCCAATTAACCTTAGCGAGCCATATATCCATTCTTTTATTCTATTTGGGTCGTGAACCATTTAATGAGCCCAATGGGCCGATAACCTTCCTATGGGCTTTATAATTTTGAGTGAAGACTAAGATTGATCCCAAACCAATTCACCTCCTCCTTCCAAATCCAATTCTCGGCCCATTTAAATAAAAAAAAAAGGAAATGGCTAATTAATCCACAGCATGACACATCACTTTTATTTAAAGGATAACCAAGCTTAATGCATCACATACATCTATGCAAGGTCCATATATCCATGAACACTCTTCTCACCCTCTCTCTTCTACTTACGGCCGAAGATACATTCACACACACTCCATTGCAAAAAATTGTCTCAAACATTCACAAGAACACTCTTTCCTTCCTCCCTAATTTTCGAGATCTTGAGCAACTTCAAGAAGGTTTCCACCACCAAAAATCCTCATTCTTGGTAAGTCTCTACATATCCAAGTTATATAACTTCATTCTCATGTTAGATTACTCCTTGTAAACAAGCTTTTTGGTGATCATACTCCTTAGAAATTTCTTAAACTCGAAATCCACATCAAGGTGTTGCTAGGAACAAAAACCTCTTCATCTCTTCTTCAAAACCGAAACATCAAAGAAAATGTGAGTTCATACCCCCCTTGTTTTCGGTTTTCATATGAATTTTGGGGGAGAATACAAGTAAGAATGTGTAGATCTATGTGTTATATGCATGTCTTGTGTGACATCTTAGTATATTTTATAAAAATGTGTTAGATCTAAACAAATCTCGACATTCTAAGTGACATGGAGTAAAGATCCATGAACTAAGACACTATATACACCATACTATTCATCCAAAAGTGATTACATGTTTAAGAATAAAAGTGAAAACAAAAACCTTGTTAAGGGTCAAAATTTTCAAGAAAACAAAAGATAAGGGTAAAAAACGACATTTATGTTTTTATAAGGATCAAAGAGGTCCTACTTGTATAAAAATGGATTTTTATGATAAACATACTTTAAAAAGGGCCAAAAATGCAAATTTAAGCTTAATGGGTCAAAACTTTCGGGCCTCACAGTTTTGGGCTCAATTTGCGAAAAAATGAAGTTTTGGGGTTAAAAATGTTATT